ATCTCGGAGGGTGCGGGCAAGGAGCTGCGGGGCCCCATGCGGTGGGCGTGCGGCCCCTGCCCCGCGGGCGGGCGCAGTCTGCCGTTTGACGCTTGGGCCTCCTTCCAGGTTTCAAAACAAAAACAACCCCGTTATTTTTTGGTGTGTTCCTTGACAGATGACATACTAGTGAATCAAGAGAGGTTACAGAAGTAGACTGATGTTAGTCCTAGTTGCAGCCTTAAAAAGCAGGTTGTTCATCAGTGCTTGTGAAAGATTTTGCATCTGCTTATTAAAACTGTAATATGTGGTAAGACTTAAAAGAATCTGCATGGTTCTGTTCTCGTGCGTTCTCAAATAATACTTGCCAGATTGCCTCTGGAACATGCTCAGGATAGGTGGGCTGTCAGGTGCAGTATTTTGAGAAGGCAGCTAAACAAAGCCCTTCCATTCGATGTAGTTTTAATTGCCATGCTCAGCCTGCTACTGGATTGCTTTCATCTGTTGCTGTGTAGAAAGCAAGAATTCCTTAATATTTACTGTGCAAGTCAAATAAAATATTACTTTGATTAAGGCCATCTAACTGTGTGGACTTCCCCTATATTCTGATCACCAGCCATCGTGTTCCGGCATGGGTAGAGAATGGCATCGAAATACTCCCATGCTGCATGACAGCTAATGTTCAGGCAAACTTCTCTCACTTGCTTTCAAAATTTTACCGTATAAACGCTAGTACAGATCATTTGTGTTGTAAAGCAACAACTTCACTTTCATGTGATTCTGTTGGCATACGGCGAGTGCTGTCAGCTGACCAGGAGCAGGTATGCCAACACCCGTGACCACCTACAAAGGGAGGTGCAGTCACTTCGCATTCTTCCATGTCAGGTTGATTGAGCCCATCATTCAAGGTGGCAAGAGTAGGCAGGCTGCAGACTGCCAGCCTAAGTGGAGTAAGAACTGTTTCCCAAGGCAGAATATTTCTTTATTCTCGCAGTACTACATCAGGAAGATACTGATGATACTCTTTAGAACATGACAGGCTAGGTGTAGTGCAGTGATGTCGTACAGCATTCTGGTCCTCGTGCACCCACCCGAGTGGCATGCAATTCTGGGACTTAAGTGTGTGTTGGTAGGTGTTCACAGCCAGCACCCGAGAGAACAGAGGAGTCTCCTGAGCAACACTTTCTGCAGCAGATGTTAAAGATTTGATAATAGTATCTATTAGTAACTAAAAAATCTTAAGGCCTTTTATAAGAACTGTTTGGACTAACAGTCAAATTGGTCAGTTAGTTGCTCACTGCTACTCCTACATTAGTTTCTTGTCTCCAGAAGCCCCCTGCTTCTACATGTAGCACAGCTGCAAAATGCCTTTGTAGCTGCGGTGTTGGCAACCCCTTGATCTGCCCTCCATTGTGAAACACCTCCTGTTACCAGCTGTGTGAACTACGGGTCTTAAGACAAACACACATAGTGTCTGGCTGAACCATGTCATTGCTGAATTCAGTCTAATAATCAAATGACTGAAAGTCTCAGACTGCTGGACAAAAATTTAAGAACTTTTAAGAAATTGCAAAACGTGACACTGGTGAAAGCACACACGCTGGCCTCTGGTGGGTAAGGGGCAGGTCAGCCCATGAGCCCAGCTCAGGTACTGCACAGGTGGAGTGGAGTTTCATTGCTTCTTCCTATTGAATGACAGAACATCATTCCAGATAAGTTTTTCTGGCGGTGTGCAGAGGAAAATCCTTTCTGTTATCCAACACTGAAACACATCATTGAGTATCTAGTGGAATTTCCTATTACTCCAAAATTTCTTCCATCTTTACCAAAGGAAGGAAGAACCACCACGCACTCTCTCAGTTCCATGGATTCTTGGTGTGTCTCCTGCTTCTATGTTCTACATCTTATTTCCTTTCCCAAGACCCTACCTCTTTTTCATAAAATCTTCTCTAGGTAGTCTTTTTTCTCCTCCCCAGTTAAAGGGCTTTCTTTTCCTTTTTTTCTTTCACTCTTAGAGAATTATATAGCACGAGAATTCTTTAATTTTTCCCTTGTTCAAGAAGAGAGAGAAACAAGACCAAACCCACAGAATTGGTTCTGTTAATGCTGTGTTACCAGTTCAAGGAATGTGTTGACTGTTGCTGAAATTCACTCATTTTTTCATTTAACTCACCAGACAGTAATCTTACAGCCCATGATATTAACAGGTAGATTGAAAATGCAGAATTGTTATTATTTTGCTGTTATTTGACAGGTTAGTGTCAGCTGCCCAGAATTACTATTAGTAACACTCTTCTACTGAGGATTGAGAATAATGGAAATTATGTCCTGTTAATATTTGTTAACCTTAAATATTCAATGCTACTAGTAAAAGCAAGCACAGGGTATTATCTGCAGCTATTCAAGAACACAAAAGAGAAATTGATATATTAATTCTTACACTATTCTGGAACTCTTCCATAATCACCCTGTTAGTCCTCATCACAGTCTTGCATAAATTATCACTGAAAATTTTGTATATAGTAAACAACTACATGTAACAGATACTACAGAATCTGTATTTTTGGTTGTTTGAAGTTTGAAATGTTCAGATTTCAACAAAAACTGAAATAACACACAATGTGAATTTTTTTCTTAAATAATTTCTTAATATAATGATTGCCAGACCTTTTTTATGAGAAACCAGGACCACAAATCCTCATCTAATTGATTAATGAAGTGGGTGAGAGAGAAGAGTAATGGTTATTTGATTATTTCTCCTCAAATATTTCAGTCCTAGGGCTGCCTTACAATATTCAGTTTGATTTTAAGCAGTGGTGTACCAGATTTGTACCACGCAATAAGGATAATGTAAATTACCCTTCTCTAGTCAAGTAATTGGCAGACTGTTACATGTTGCATCAAAATGACTGACATACTCATCTGTGGAACATTGTTAACATGATCTCCAACAAATGGGAAACTGTTGAGGTCCGTGTTCTGCTCATGAGACATCAAGATTTTCATGTACAGATGGAGTGAATAGGGGAAGAAACTGGGACAAGGCAACAAATGGGAGGAGTCTGGCATTCTAGAGCTTTCTTTTTGTATACTTTAAAGTTTCAAACCTGGCAGGTCTAAAACTATTTCCCTTCAACACAATTATGCAGTCCCCTCGGTTTCAGTTACATACAAACCCATGAATAATTGCAGTACATAATAGTTCCATAATGCCTGCAAAATCCTCATTTATATTCAACGTATACTTTAAAACTTAAAAACAGTTGCCTGCTTTCATACTAGGTTAGAATAAGGTAATCCTGTATGAATGAGAATACAGCTCTGTTGTTAAAGTTGAGCAAACAGCTTAGTTACAGACTGGTCTACCAAAATGAGTCTGTCTGCATCAAAATATAACATGCTGTCTAGCTCATGATATGTCTCCAGAGAAGTGTCACACGGTGCCAGATGCCTGCCCTGCAACAAGGCGTGTGGCTATTGCAAACGCTGGAGTGACCTTTCAGAAGAGCATTCAGCAACTTTAAATCACAGGTAAGATTTCAATCTACAGACTATTTTCTCATATGCACAATGTTATATACCACTTCTACACAACATTTTTTGTCAGGCTTATTGGGTGACTGCTTCACCCATGACTTTTATTTATCAAATTTACTCTTCCATTTATATCCAATTCAGTGATTTCATTTTATAAATTTAGTAATGCAGAAGGGATAGCAAGTTTTACATACTAATGATATACATACATATTTTGCTGTCAGAACTACCAACAGTAACAGTACTTGTTAAAAAATAAATACATCAAGGAACTTCATAGAGCCTATGGAAATAAAGGTGGGACATGAACAGACTATATGAGATAACCATTATGGAGGGAAATCTGTAGATACAAAATTTGACTCAGAAGAGGGAGAATAGGGAAGCACTGTTAATCAGAATATCAAAACAAACTAAATACAGTATAGAATATAAATAATAGTTAAGCTCCATCTGTCACATATTGTAATAAGAATGTACGTTCCACAGCATATTTTAAAGAGGCACGGTATTGGTTTCAGGTGACTGACATGATCACATTTCCTAATTTACGCTGAAATGTGTGTGTGTGTGTATATATATATATATATATATATATATATATATATATATATGTGCATATATATAGCATTTGCCAGATTTTACAAGCAGATGTATTAAGTGTCAATATGCATTCAGTTTTTTAAAAAAATATCTTCAACTTTCTATCGGGAGAAATACCTCAATTTCATACAGATTCAGTCTTAAAAGTAGCTGATACACAGCAGTAAGGTCAAAGAAGGTTCTGTGAAACAAGTAACTAGTTTCATATATTACACACAGCCATGTATTAAACTGTTTTGGCATATTCTGACTTCCTGCAACTGCATACCTTGGCTGTGTTTAATAAATTCCTACACGAAGTGGTCTCTTGTTGCTGTTCATTCTTTTATTAGAGTACTACTGCTATTTGGTGGGTTTTTTTGTAACATGATAAAAACATAATTTTCACATTTTTCCTGGGCACTGAATGGTAGTAAGAAGAGTTAGACTCATGAAAAACCACTTCTTACTGAATCTACCAGATTTTTTTTACACAACATAGCTTGCATCACCTATCCTGGTTTTCTGTTTTAAAATTGAAATTGGAAGTAACATACAGTGAAGTTTTGTCAGAGAATTTCCTTTCAGTCTGTTTCCTTGTGCATGTGCCAGACTTGTAATTTAGTCAGTTTTGTTGCTTCAAAGATCCTTAGAAGAAAGAATTTTCAATGACAGAATAAAAGATGCAACTTAAACCTCACAGGGATCATAAGCAGACTCTTTCAGTGAGCCACTTTACAGAACCACTTTTTTTATAATTTAGAATTATGATTATGTTTTGCAGTAGTTAAAAGTTAAGTTAGATATTCTAATTGCTGCTGCCTTCTTCATCTTTTACAAAAGTATTACAATGTACATCGTTTTATTGAGATTAAATTTACTTTATTTTCAAACAGTTCATCTATATTACAAAAATCCTTAGAGGTCAGCTCGAACTCCAAAACCTGGTCCTTTGGGTGGTTCAGTCAGAGAAGTAAGGCCACCAGCTGGCTCACAAGAAAAACGTCCACTCCTGAAAAATGAAAGCAGTTTGATTCATTGCTGGTATTGTTATAACCTCACATACTGTTTAATCACTGGATAGAAAATAGTTCAGAATCTGACTTAAGGCTGAAGCCATTTTTTTCTTTCTATTCATCCTTCAGAAGTGTGTGATGCTGCTCTTCCATCAGAAGGATTCCAAATTCAAGTAGTGACAAATACTTTCATAACTGAAATGCAAGACAGGACCACTAGTTTTCTTTTTTAATTATTTGTAGGTTGGCCAGACAAAAGTGATACTATCTCAGTAATACCAAAAGCAGTATGCAATTGTATCAGTAATGTTTTTGCTAAAGATGTTTCCCTGTGTTTGGAAACCATAACTATTTTAAGATTATTGTTCTTGTATTAAAAAAAAAAATCATTCTAGAAACAGTAGGAATAGGTAGCGCACCAAAGTCAAATTAATTCCTCCATTCACACAAACGTGTAGTTGGACTAACAAAGAACAAGGGGAAATAACAGGGTTATTTCTGAACTTTTCAAATCTTTAACAAACTTGCAATATTTCCAGGTATTGTCAGAAATTAAAAAAAACCCAAACAACCAACAGGTGTTTGTTGATTTACATGATCTAGACAAAGAAAAAAAAAATCCAGCAGGTGCTGTCATCCACCTAGTACTAACACAAATCAGAATTGATGTTTTCACATTTCATGCTCCTCTAAGCAGTCATCAAGAACAAGAAAATTCTCTTAGTTCTTTCTAGTTCTACATGAATATATAGAAAGGCACTGAATGCATGCCATATTGTTCAGTAAATTAATGCTTTTCAGCTTTAGGTTGTGAACTCAAATCTCTGAACAGGAATTTTCTTTCTCAGTAGCATCATCCTTCAAATAGTTGGCCAATTTTACACAAATACAGCATACCTTGGGCCAGGTTTGGGAACTTTGCCAGCCTTTAGCTCATCAATTATGTCTTCGATATCTTTGGGTGTCAGATCTTCCTGTTAAAAAAAAAAAAAAAATCATTAACAAAACAGAAAGTGTGTCAGCAATTGTGCTAATTGCAGCATTCAAAATTCATCAGATTAATGCCTCTCTTAAGCATGATCCTAGCATAGGTAATACTGATCCTATCCATTAACACACACACTGGTTTAAAGAATTAGGAAAATTAAAAAGTCTACTGTCATTTCAATGTTAAAATTTTTGTTTCACATATAGTTGCAGAAGTTATGTTAAAACTAAATGTTCAGTCAGGTCATCTCTACCATGGCTTGGTGTTTTCAGCTTCCTTGGTGTATTAGTGCGCTGGATCTCTGCCCACCCGCTATAGCCGTGACAAGAAAAATTGTGGGTACAGTTCAAGAGATCAATTCTCAAAAAATTAATCAGACTGTGATAGCGAAGTATTTTAAAAATAAGTTTTTTAAAAAAGGTGGATTCTGTCAATACATTAATTCCTTTGGTCTGAATGCATCCAAGTGAGCCATAATCCGGAAGTCTAAAAAACAGTGTTAGACCAGTCTGTCCTTTCCAACAGACTGCTTTAAAGTGCTTTTAAAAGCTTACCAAATACCTATTTAAAAATCCAAGATTTATGGGCAGACCACTATTGCAAAAACGCATCACCCCATTTGTATAAATCGACAGTAACTGAAAGAACCGATACACTGCGAGACAGATGAAGCATTCCTAGGAAGAGGCCAAGAAACTGAAAGGTGTTCTAGGACAGCTTATGCTGTCCCTGCCAATAGGAATTTGAAATAACTGACCAAAACTTCAGAATCTGAAACAAGTGAAAATACAGGTAACCCAGCAAATAAGTTTAATCTTTTAAAAGGGAATGTAACACTTACATAATAATTGTCATTTATTTGTACCATCGGTGCATTTACACAAGCTCCTAAACATTCCACTTCTATGAGTGTGAAGAGTTTATCAGGTGTTGTTTCCCCAACTTTTATACCTAAACCAACAAAGAATATTAGGTTCAGCAATGGTTACTGAACAAGATTAATAAAGTATGAATCTTAAGTACCCCACAGCCTTCTCAGTACTTGTATTTTGACCTTAAAAAACATTTGCATAGTTAAATCCTCTTAAATGAGTCCAACATGTTTCCATTAAACAAAAAATTCTAATAAACTGTGAAGTCAGTTTTCAGATATATTTTTGAGACCTCACTTACAGGTTTACAGGTATGATTTACTGAAGAATAACCAAGAAATGACAAATATAAGGAACAGTACAGCTCTACTCAGGAACATTTTTAGCAATCAATACAACAGAATGGAAAAATAGGGAAAACAAAGCTTTTCATGTGCTGATATGAAATGTGTTAATAGAAATTCCCAAATTAACCAAGATCTAGGCATTGTTAGCTACAGATTCATAACCAATTTCCGAGTTTATACACAAAGGCTTATTTCCTGAACAACTCTGTCCACACACTTAGCTTCCATGGCACGTTACTCTTCTAGTGATACAGATACGGACCTTCCCCAGAGGGCAGGTAAGCCAAAATAACATCTCAGAGTCTGATCTCAACAAAATTCTCCATGGAAGGAAGAATGCTGAAAAGCAGTTTTCCTCCACAGTTATTAGAAGCGGGGGAAAAAAAAACTAGTAAAAGTCTTAAGTAAGGCCTGTGTTTCAGTAAGAGCTACATAATCATCCTTAATGCTTTGATTTCTCAAGCTTAAGAGTTTCAGTTAAAATTAAGCTATCTTTGCAGTAACAAAATAAGATAAATTTCATCTAAATATGCCGTTTCCAGACAACAGAATATATGAAAGAGCTGCTATTCTGCAGCTCTTATCACAGTAGTTCTTCAGAAATGTTAGCATGGCTTGCAACTTCAAAGAAGGGAAAGAGTTGCTAGCTGCTATCTTATCCCCTCTTCTGCCCATAACTACACAACAAGGAGGGGAAAAAGAAATCCCACCAAGCCCCCCCCCAAACCTGTGAGTTCTCCTTACATCTCCTATGATGCAGCACCCTCAATTGACTTTTTGCATGGAGAATTCCTAAGTTATGTTAACATCATGTTTGCCATCCAGGGACCTGTGCAAAACTCAGTTCAACAAGGCCAAGTGCAAGGTCCTGCACATGGGTCAGGGCAATTCCAAACACAGATAGAGGCTGGGTGATGAGTGGATTGAGAGCAGCCCTGCAGAGAAGGACCTGGGAGTAGCAGTGGATGGAAAACTGACTATAAGCCAGCAATGTGCACTCACAGCCCAGAAAGCCAGCTGTATCCTGGACTGCATCAAGAGCAGTGTGGCCAGCACGTCAAGGGAGGTGATTCTCCCCCTCTACTCTGCTCTTATGAGACCCCATCTGGAGTGTTGTGTCCAGCTCTGGGGTCCCCAACGTAAGGACATGGACCTGCTTGAGTGGGTCCAGAGGAGGTCACCAAGATGATCAGGGGACTGGAGCACCTCCCCTATGGGGACAGGCTGAGGGAGTTGGGGTTGTTCAGCCTGGAGAAGAGAAGGCTCTGGGGAGACCTTACAGGGACCTTCCATTACTTAAAGAGGGCTGACAGGAAAAATGGGGAGGGACTCTTTATCAGGGAGTGCTGTGATAGGATGAGCGGTCATGGTATTAAACTGCGAGAAGGTAGATTTAGATTAGAGATAAGCTGTGGCTGCCCCCTCCCTGGCAGTGTTCAAGGCCAGGTTGGATGGGGCTTTGAGCAGCCTCATCTGGTGGAAGGTGTCCCTGCCCATGACAGGGGATTGGAACTAGGTGATCTTTAAGGTCCCTTCTAACCCAAACCATTCTGTAACTCTATCACCTTACTTGAGCAAAAAACACCCTCATAAACAACTTTCATATAGCATATACCTTAAAAATCTTTTGCATATAAAAAAGTGCCAAAAAGAGTCCTCTCCTATATATGGGATAGGTCTTACTTTCTCAGTATGAGGGTCATATTAGAATAATGCATTTCCTGGCACATAGTCTTTAAAACCACTTTAAGACCACTAAGTGGCATTCCAGATAACAGCCTTCTCTGGTCTACTGTACTGAAATCTTTAAAAATAAATATTAAAAGCCAAATCTGAAATTTGAAATCTCTTGTACCTATTCTCTAATGATTACACTCTGTATTTTAAATACTATTGCTCTGTCCCCACCATAGAAAAAAAGTTTACTTCAGTATCATTAAACTAAGGTAAAAAAAATTAGAAAAAGTACAAGTTGTTGTCATACCAAGTTTCTTCTTAATGGCTTCTAAAATACTATCAGAGTCTCGCAGCATGCAAGGCGTGGTAGTGCAGACCTGAATATGGTATTTCCCAACAGGTTTGCGATTATACATTGTATAAAAGGTTGCTACTTCATACACTCTCATGGGAGGCATTTCTAAAATTTCAGCAACCTGTAACAAGGGGAAAACAGACATGTATTTAATTCTCACAGGGCATCAGTAAAGGCATTTAACAAACCATTTCAATGAAGTCACCTGTCCTCTGTCTGTAGTAACAGTCAGTAAGAGAGAGGGGATGGGTATCGAAGCACAGCTGTATTCAAATCCCAAAAGAAGGCACTTGAGTTACTCCGATTGGAGTCACCTTGCTCGAGCACACACTCCACTAAGCCATGGATGAGCACAGCGAGGAGCTCAAGTCAATTCCCCTCCAGCATCCAGCATCATACACAAGCAGCTGCAAGGAGTCAGCTGGGTTCCAGCTTTCACTGTCAGCTCCAGCTCCTACTGCACTTCTGCTGAATGAACAAAGGAACTTGTAGACATCTGCCCACACTAACCCACCATAAGCCTTTTGGTAGGAGAATTATAGGCTGGTACTACACTCATCTAACTCAGATACAGCAGGTCTGTCTCAGGTTCCGTGACACACCAGAGCCGGCCTCAGAAATGCCACAGCTACGTCTGCAGATTGGCATCACAGCCAGTAAATAGGGAGTGAAGCACGATCTCCACCAAGCCAGTTGTGGTGCGAGTATCCTTGACCTCATTAACCCGGAACCCTGCCCTTGCTCTGTTTTCAAAGCATAACTGTTTTACATTCCAGTCTCTAGGGCAGGCAGGTAACAAACCACGGAAAATATCTGTTCATTTAAAAAAAACTTAAGATCATTTTAAACATAGTATCAATCTAAAACTTAAATAAACAAAAATACTTTTCCCATTCAGTATTAATAGAGATTTGAAGCTTTATACTACACTGTGGAAGTAGTAGTAGACAAAATTTGCCCCTCTCTAAACATGTACTGAACTCCTTCAGTAATTTCTGTAATGCTCACAATACTCACTTAGCATATCTTGACTGAATTTAAAACTTTTCACTTTAACTGATGACATGACAGACTATAACACAAAATATAACAGATTTACTCATATAAACCAGCATTTTTTATTTCCTGGTATTTTATTACTTTCATGCAACCTATCACTCCAGAGCAGTGTAGTTGCTTGCTTATTTTGAAACAATTTTAATAAATATGATGTCTTCCGGGTGCTTGCTGTGGGGTTTTACAAAACATTCATGACACATACTATAACTAATACTGCTCTGCAGAAGTCTTCACAGGCCTAGAGATTAAATATAATCCTGGCAGTGTACGTAGTGCCACCACTCTGGGAGGAGAACAACCCCACCATCGTAACCTTTTTTCTTTCCCCAAACTCAGGAGCAAACAAACTCTTTCAAGTTTCTGTTCCTACTTCCAGGATGGTTCTGGGAAAATAGCCTATGTAAACAGAGCTCATGTAATTTTTGTTTTGTCCTGTCTGTAGTTTCTAGCAATAGGCTGACATTACATAAACAATGAGGTCTGAGTTTTCTGCTTTAGTTTTCCCAATGATTTTTTAAAATGTAGTCTCAAGGAATTCTTATAATTCGGTGCCTCATATAAATTCCCATGTTAGTATGCTTTGGTAAGTAAATGCTAATATTCCAAGTAAGATATTTTAAAAACCCTGTAAAATTATGCTGGAAAGATAATTAAGTACTAAATACCTTGTTCATAGCTGATATGGGCAACCATCCATGCTGTCTTTGGGCCAAATCTAGTACTGCCATGACAGCTGCAGACTTGTGTCCCCCTGGGTAGCTGTTTACAATTGCTTCTATTCGCTTTTTAAAGGGAAAGAGGAAGAAAATAGTGTCAGTACTGATATAAAGACAAGACCTGTGTATTTAACCTTTTCTGTCTACATACCTTTTGGTTTTCAGGTGTGAACTCAAACGGAGTATCTGGATTATTTTCAGGACTATCTCTGTGCTTCAGGAAAAGAAAAAGAAAATGTGTAAAAATAGAATTGTCAGGAAATTATCCAAGACAGATTTACTGTTGTAAAATGTCTTCTCATTAGACAGTTACAGTTGAGTTGCTTGAATAAACCCGTTATATTCCAGATAAAAATTTCATAGTACTCAAACGATTAAATATCTCTGGGAAAACTACCAAAAATATTAATAATTATTTCATCACTCTTAAAAATAAGATAAAAACCTTAATCCTGTTATTTCATATTAAAAATACATTTCTTGAGGAATATGGTGCTGTTATCAAAATACATGTTTTTTAAACACTGTTAATACAGTTTGGCAATTATGTTCAAACTCATCACAGGTAGATTAAGAGTTAATACCTTAATAAACAACAAGGGACTAAAACAACAGCCCATTTTTTCTTTTCCCATGACACTTTAAATATAAAAGCATTAAAATTGATCAAGAAGCTTGCTACATAACTAAAACATTTGCAGATTCAAACACACATTATTAATCCATTTTAACATATTCTTTTGATTTGTAATGGATTTCAACTCTTTAATTTTAGATACAATTCTGAATCAGAATGGAAGCAGAATTTTGAATTAATATTTCCAAAGAAAGGTATTCTATCATATTATTTTTAAGGTGGCCTTCTAAGGAAGCATCAAACTGAAGTTAGTTCTATTTTCAGAAAATACAAATTTGGAGGTCTTGAAGAAGATGACATTTTCCTATAATAAAATCTTTGTTCTGATGAAAAACCTTATCCACCGGAAAAACCTCCTGCACAAAATTTTCAGCTATCTCTAAGCAGCTCATTATGGTATCCTTGAAACACTCATAGCTCAATTTCATTCCAAACTTTATACAGTTTTCAAATTAAATGGAAAGCTTGGGAAAAAAATGCAACCTATAGTTGAGGCTTGATGCTAAAGGTAATTCACAACCAGATAATAATAATAATAATAATAATAATAATAATAATAATAATAATAATAATAATAATAGCAGCAGCTTTAAAAAATATTTAGGAGAAAGAAACCCATTCCACTGAGTTTCATCATTTTCTCAAGTAATGCAAGGTGATTTTGCGGTTTCCATGCTGCGTTCTTATTAAGCAGTGAAGGATTTAATGACAAATCTTAACATTGGAAGAAACATACTGCAAGACTGTCATCAGTGCAGAACTTAATACGTACGGTCCATTATTATTCCTGATTTAGAAATTCGTATGGAAATATCGAAAGGCCAAATCCTTAACTTCAGTTACATCTGTTGGGTCTAGTGAGAGATTCCCTTTGCTTATCCTGAGTATATCCCAGAGCAGACGGTACTACTGCCACCGTCAATTTGCAAGCATGTACCCCTACCACAGTTCCAAGTCAAATACAAAACTACAGTCAATATATACTTCTCCACTGAGGATGACTTTCCCCTAATAACAGGAATTACAGAAAGATAACCAATTTCCTTTGAACACACTAATATTTTATTACGTATGAATTTCTTGCTTATTGTGTGGTCTACGAGAGAACATAAAACTGCTTCTAGGAACAATTGCCACTATTTTAGATTGACCCTTACAGATAAAGGATTTGACTCCTCATACATAGTGTTGGTGAGGGTTTTCTACCAATTTTAATGGGAAGTTATCGAAGAGGAAAAACTGAAAGGAAACATGGTGTAACTTTTTTTTTTCCCCTTACAGACCTGTTCTAGGTCTTAGCTGCACAAATCAAATCCATGATTCATGATAAGTGTTTCCATAACTTAACTATTCCTTCTCAAATCTGCACGCCTGTTTTATTTCAGGCTGCTATTTTGCCTTCCATAGCTATGTGATACAATTATAATTGTACTTCATCTCAGTTTCTTTGCAAATATTTGATTTATTAAAGTCTCCTTCTTTGTCTAAAACAGCTGTTCTTTCCAGTTTGCCATCTCTAAACTGATATCCTTAAATACTCTACATGGGAGGAGGAATATTTAATAAAGACGTATCTGAAGCTAGTTTGCCACACAGTCAGTTCTGTGCAGCAAGGCCCCAGAATATGTTGTAAAGGTAACAGCACAGATGAGCACTAAATAAGATCATGTCACCTTTTTTTGTCTTCCATTTTCCTAAATGGGCTTTCATCTCATTCTGTGCTGTGGAGAGTCTTGATAGTTTTCATAGAGAGCTAACAGAGATAGTTCTAGGCCTACTGAGCTATTAGCAATTTGTCAATGTGTTCCCTAGTCTTCCCTTTGTCTGACAAGGCACCATTTATCCAAGATGTGCAGGAGCTGATTTGATCCTAAATGGCATGGGTGCATTTCTGCCTTTTTTTAGGATACAGCGGTTGAGGTTGGAAGGGACCTCTGGAAGTCATCTGGGCTGAACCCCAGCACTCAAGCACAGTCACCTAGAGCTGCTGGCCCAAGACCACATCCAGATGGCTTCTGAACATTTCCAAGGTGGGAGAGTTCAAACACTCTCTGGACAATCTATGCCAGTGCTTGGTCACCCTCACACTTTTAAGTATTTCCTGATCATCTCTGAGGCCAGTTCCCTCTGGTCCTGTCACTAGGCACCACTTTAAATATCCTGGCTCTGTCCTCTTTGCACCCTCCCTTCAGGTCTTTACATACATTGAGAAGATCTTCCCTCCCCCAGCCTTCTCTTCTCTAACAGTCCAGCTCTCTCAGCTGTTCCTCATGAGAGATGCTCTTAAGAAGAAATGGATATATTAAGACTTCCTCCATACACAAACTAAGTACAAACAATTACGTCTGTACCAACTACAGCAATTTGTTGAAAAGCAAGGTTAAACTCTATCCACACATTTTTTCCAATTCTCATGTTTCCCAATTTCCTAGTCTTACACAATGTTTTTGTTCCATGCATGGCTTAACTGTATCATGTTTGTATTGCAGCATTCAGCCTAACCTACTTAAAGTGTGATCCACTGAACTGCGAAGACCTACCTAAGGCACACTGTCCCCACAGATGACGGTACTCTCCCATGGAAGGTACCATGGCTGCTGAATGCTCATCTCACATTGGTTTTGCTACACCAACCTGGGACACTTTATTATTCTTTTTCAGTGATCTCACCATCTGTCTTTCTTGACACAGAGAATTATTAAAAAGCACTGAAGAATTACAATAGAATAACCAGAATAATTTAGCTTTCAGGTTTACTGCAAGAAAGTTGGCCTGAAACTTGACCTATGCCCTATGGTAAACACCTGTCCAAAAGACTGTAAAACCAAAATGAGAGAACTGTGTGGTATGCAGGGGAGATGTTTAGGGCAATAACCTGTTAAGAGTCCATATCAAATCAGCAGTGAAAAGAAATGTATTACTTCTCCTTCAAAGGGAAAGTACCCTACATACTGTTCCAGCAGAACTCAAGATATAACCTCTCCAATTAAGAAGGGTGGAAGTGCTGTCAGACCCAAGTATTTCACTGGCCATCTTCACAAGTAACTAAAACTGTAATACAGCAATTCTCCAAACTTCTGTACTGAACCCCTATGCAGTCCTATAACAAAGCCCATATCAGGGCAGTTGATGTGTTAAGGAAACTCAGTCCATGTGTTGAAAACCACAAAAGTAGTTAAGTTTTGGCTGATAAGGAGGCTGAAGACAGGTAGAAGTCAAAGAGAGAGGGCATGTTTACAGAAAGTAACTATTGTAAATAAAAGTACATTTGAAATCAGGTGTTCCCTAGCCATCAGAAATGATAGATTTGGAGCAGCTCTCTTATGTTACTGCAGGCAATTACCTCATTTTAAACCTGATGCGCTCCTTCTGAAGTGATCTAGTTGCCTGTGTGGCACCAGACTGAGTTTAATGGTTGACAGAAATTCTCTTCTTGGTTGTTTTAGAATAAAAAGGAGTTTCAGTAGTTGTTCTCTTACATGCAAGGAAAAAAAACTTGCATGAAAAAGAAGTTTGCAAAGTGATGCATAGGTGTGCAGATCAGCATTGCCTTTTAATACTAGATTTTATGACAACCAGGTCCCCTGCTAGCCCGTCTCCTGCTGTTCGAAGTATGCTGTATGCATTTCCCCTCCTCACACATAGATTTCATATACAGGAAGTGCAACAAGAAGCACCAACTTGCTTTGCAAAACAAAATCAAGACACTCGCATGTAAACTGATATACAAAGAGGACCACCACAACAGGTTAAAGTTACTCCCAGGTAAGTCCGCTAGTCCTCCACAAACAGTTTTTAACAACTTTTGACACTTCCTCTGCTTGTAATATTCCACAAAACTAAGACCTTTTTTTAATGTTGAATTTTTTCCTTTCAAGAAATCTGGGGGGAAAAGAGTCCCATTTCCTGACTACATACAAACACCTAGTGTTCATTAAAATAATGCCTTCAGCTCAAATCAGCAGGATGAGTTTTCACTTGAAATTGGCCGTGTTAAATAAAATCTGAAATTTGCTCTGAAGATTTTTAGTTATAGTTAGGACAAACAATTACACACACAATGACATCCAACTGTCTTCTTCCCATAGTCCCTTTCTTCTACTTTCAAGCTCCTCCCTCCAGCAAATAATTTAAACAGTTACATAAATCTTGAAAAATGCTTCGAGAATTTACAAAGCTACCTAGCTTCATAGGCCAGGCACCAGCATCCATCAGGGTACCAAAGATACCTTTTGCCTGTCTTTACCGACCTCAAACTACATGTGAAGTTTTTTAAGTTGTCAGTCTACACCGATTCTGCTATTCCTTGAATATCAGCTCTCATTCCAATAAACCATCAATGCCCGCTCAGGTTTCTGGGGAAGTATACGAACCATGTACTGTAATCCCATTAACTTCATCTTATGAGAAAAGCTGTAGAGACAGCTGCAGAAAGGCAACAACAGCAACAAAAATCTGTCTAAAAATGCTGAGCACCTGCTTTCAACAAAGTGGTCAATTCTCTAGTTAAGTGCTGATTTCTACCAAATGTTGAGAAAATGCCAAATTATTCAGCTGTTAAACTGCAGACTAGATAAGCTCTGAATGAAACAGAATGGGACAGAATACACCTCTCAGAGATGCTTCAGGTTCTCTTAGAGGTAGACAGACAGCACATCTGCTTTACACATTTAAATTTGAGGGCTTTTTCTTTTTTGCAATCACTATTACTATTTATACATATTATGATATAGTCTAATTAAAGAGAAGGCAGGGACAGGAGATGTTATAGTGGGGGTCTGCTACAGGCCACCTGACCAGGAAGACAAGGCAGACCAGGCCCTTTATAGACAGACAGGAGCAGCTTCACGTTGCTAAGCTCTGCTCCTCATGAGGGACTTCAGCCGCCCTGACAAAGTGGAGGGAGAACACATATCAAGGCATAAGCAATCCAAGAGGTTCTTGGAACACACTGATGGTAACTTTGTTCTCCAAGTGACAGAGGAGCCAACGAGGAGAGCGGCTATGCTAGACCTTGTTCACCAACAAGGAAGAGCTGGTGGGGAGTGTGAAGCTCAAGGGCAGCCTTGGCTGCAGTGACCATGAAATGATGGAGTTCAAGATCCTGAGGGCAGCGAGGAGGGTGCAGTGCAAACTCCCTACCCTGGACTGCAGGAGAGCAGACTGTGGCCTCTTCAGGGATCTGGTTGGCAGAGTAGCATGGGATAAAGATGGAGGGAAGAGGGGCCCAAGAAACCTGGTTAATATTCAAGGATCACCCCCTCCAAGCTCAGGAGTGATGAATCCTGACAAAGAGGAAGTCACGTAAGACCGCCAGGAGGCCTGCATGGATGAACAAGGAGCTCCTGGACAAACTCAAACGCAAAAAGGAAGCCTACAGAGGGTGGAAGCAAAGACAGGTAGCATGCGAGGGACAGAGAAACTGTCTGAGCATCCAGAGATCAGGTTACAAAGGCCAAAGCCAGAGACATCAAGGGCAACAAGAAAAGCTTCTATAGGTGTGTCAGTGATAAAAGGAAGATGAGGGAAAATGTAGGTCCTCTCTGGAAGGAAACAGGAGACCTGGTTACCTCGGCCACAGAGAAGGCTAGGATACCCAACAACATTTCCACCTCCATCTTTGCTGGCAAGAACTCCAGCCATATTGCCCAAGTCATGGAAGGCAAAGGCAGGGACCAGGAGAATGAAGAATCACCCACTGTAGGAGAAGATCAGGTTTGAGACCATCTAAGGAACCTGAAGGTGCACAAGTCCACGGGACCTGATGAGATGCATCTGCAGGTCCTGAAGGAACTGGCAGATGACATGGCTAAACCACTACCCATCATATTTGTTAAGTTGTGGCAGTCTGGTGAAGTTCCTGCTGACTGGAAAAGGGGAAACAAACCCCTCATTTTTAAAAAGCAAAAGAATGAAGACCTGGGGAACTACTGGCCAGTCAGTCTCACCTCTGTGCTCAGCAAGATCATAGAGTGGATCCTGGAAAATAAGGTGGTGATTGGTGACAGCCAACATGGCTTCACTGATGGCAAATCATGCCTGACAAATCTGGTGGCCTCCTATGACAGGATTACAGTGTTGGTGGAGAGGGGAAGAGCAACCCTTGTCATCTACCTGGACTTGTGCAAAGCATATGACTTTCCTGCATGACATCCTTGTCTCTAAATTGGAGACATGGATTTGACAGATGGGACCACTTGTTAGATAACAAATTCGCTGGATGGTCACACTCAAAGAGTTGCAGTCAACGACTTGATGTCCAGGTGGAGAGCAGTGACAAGGGGCATTCCTCAGGGGTCAGTGTTGGGACCAGTGCTGTTTAACATCTTTGTTGGAGACATAGACAGTGGGATTGAGTGCAACCTCAGCAGGTTTGCTGATGACACCAAGCTGTGTGGTGCAGTCAACAAGCTGGAGGGAAGGGATGGCATCCAGAGGGACCTGGACAGGCTTGAGAGGTGGGCCTGTGCAAACCTCATGAAATTCAACAAGGCCAAGAGCAAGGTCCTGCACATGGGTCAGGGAAATCTCAAGCACAAATACAGGCTGGGTGATGCATGGATTGAGAGCAGCCCTGCAGAGAAGGACCTGGGAGTAGCAGTGGATGGAAAACTGGCTATAAGCCAGCAATGTGCACTCACAGCCCAGAAATCCAACTGTATCCTGGACTGCATCAAGAGCAGTGTGGCCAGCACGTCAAGGGAGGTGATTCTCCCCCTCTACTCTGGTTTCTTGAGACCCCACCTGGAGTGTTGTGTCCAGCTCTGGGGCCCCCAATGTAAGGACATGGACCTGCTTGAGTGGGTCCAGAGGAGGTCACCAAGATGATCAGGGGACTGGAGCACCTCCCCTATGGGGACAGGCTGAGGGAGTTGGGGTTGTTCAGTCTGGAGAAGAGAAGGCTCCGGGGAGACCTTATAGCGGCCTTCCAGTATTTAAAGGGGGCCAACAGGAAAGATAGGGAGGGACTCTTTATCAGGGAATGTATGGATAGGATGAGGGTTAATGACTTTAAACCACAAGAGGGTAGATTTAGATTAGAGATAAGGAAGAAATTCTTTAGCATGAGGGTGGTGAGGCACTGGCACAGGTTGCCCAGAGAAGCTGTGGCTGCCCCCTACCTGGCAGTGTTCAAGGCCAGGTTGGACGGGGCTTTGAGCAGCCTGGTCTGGTGGAAGATGTCCCTGCCCATGGCAGGGGGTTAGAACTAGATGATATTTGAGGTCCCTTCCAACCCAATGATTCTAATTGCCTCAATTATGAATCATTATGCAACGTCCTGTATCACATATAATATGAACAAGAACTGCACTTTTGAACTCCTAGTAAACAGGGCTAGACCTGGACCTAAGTGTAATTCTGCAGGAAATTTTAGAAATCAAGAAACGGTACCTGCAAAAATTTTCATGAGCTACAATTAGAAACTCAATTAACTCCAATAAAAAAAGTAAACAAGAACTGGTTTATAATGAAAAAAAAAAAAGCTTAAGCAAAGTTTCATCTGCAATCACACACAAATGCTACTAACATCACCATTTTTAAATTTTCACTGTATAAGGAAAGAAACACAAGGCCAAAAGTGAAAAACCTTTTGATACTCCATCACAATTCTAATAAAAAGTTCTACTGAAAGTTCTTCTTTGTAAACACCAGCAGGCTTCTATAGCAAAGTTCTGTTCATCAGAAGCTTTTAGACAGATTATAAAAGCATACGCCGAGGCAGGCAGAAAATTACTTACCACAAATAAGGCTCCTCCACTGGCATTGCACACTGCTGTTCTATGTAAGTATCGGATTTGTCTTATCTACAGACAAAATACAGAGTATTAATAGTTAATAATTTACATACTGCTAGTCGCTGCTTTCAGAACCAGTTTGATTTTTGTTCTAATTGTAAGCCATTAATTATACTGTCATCGGTAATAATTTAAGTCAAGAAGAGACTATCTATTAAAGGCTCTCCTGTACAACAGCAAATCTCTTAACTCATCTTGACCATTTCAGTCCATGTAGAAGTTAAAAGGATTTAACTTCTAACAGGTAATACTCTGATACAGCTTCATTTAAGTGCCTTGAACAGAAATTCTCATCAAAAATTTCATGAAGAATTTTCCAATTTGTTACTTTATATCATATGTGCTTTAAATTTAATGTTTTCAGAAACTACCATTAGTATTGAGGTTCTTCTCTAGTAAACATTTATATACTTCTTCAGCTTTTATTTAACTGAACAGTGAGATCAGGCAAAGAAGGACAAACGTAAAATAAAACACAAACCTGAAATATCAGCACAACACCCATATGCAAGTTCTGTTCAGCTATTCTCTGTACTCTCTGTCTGGGTCCATCATGCCAGAACAGATCAAGATTTCTAGATTCTCACAAGTATTACTAAGATGATTTGATAATGTTATCTTGTCATATGTAATAATTCTATAATAAATTTTTATATTGAATTCTAGATTAATTTTTATATTTCTTATAGTATATTAAAAAAAACCAAACCTCCTTAACTACTTGATTTCTGTTACTGTATAAAATCTGTGGGGCTTCAAGTGGATCAGCATCAAACTTGCAAAAATACAGTCAGAGGGTCAGATCTGAAATTCAACCCTAAGTACCAGGGAACTACATTCCCTGCACTTCTGTAAAGAACAACCTGATCAGCTCAATCTTATCACCAGCAGATCACACAGTTTCACCTGCAGTGTAGTTTCACACAACAGCTGTAGTCTTTCCCTGTCATATGATCAGTCCTTCCAGGAAACCAGTATTGGATTTACTACACAGTTATGTGTATTATGTTGTATGCATTCATTTCTTTGATCTCCACTTCTGCCTCATCTGAAAGCAGCAGCCAGGAAACCAATTCATCTCCTGCCATTCTGTGTCAGAGGCCAAAATGAATGCTGGGATACGTGGATAACTCGGTGGACTGCAGATCATTCCCGTGACCCCTTTCCAGGGGACTCTCAGCCTGTTACCTTTATAACTAACATGAAGCACATCAAATGAACTGCACTGGCATGACAATTTTGAGTGCCTTCCATGAACCAGACATGTCACATTCAGACAAAAGACTAAAAACTAAGTAGAGCATGCAACTACAACTGCACTTCTGCAGACAATGCTGAAAAGGAACACATAATTGAGGATCTGACGCTCAGGTATAAATCCTACTAAATGCTAAGTAAATATAGAACATATGTAGTTTTGGCTCTGATGGGACCACCACATTGTAAGCTTCAGGTTTCTAACTGTAAGAGGCAGTCTCCTACCAAAAGGAGCGCTTCAGATGAAAACCCTTTACTCTATCTAAAGATACTGTACTGTTTCCAAGAACCAAACCCTGTAAATTTCAGACTTCAAGAAGACGAGACCCCTTTTTTTGCAGTGTCCTAAAGGGCTTCAATTGGTGTGAATAGTTGACTCAGGATTGAAAAACAGAGTGGCTTCTTTCTCATCGTTAATCTTACATACACGGGCAAGCCAGAAATACTATTTCCGCGCGGAAAGCTCCCCAATAACCTCCAGTTCCTGCTGGAGCCTTTTTAACCTGATGCTGGCAGTACAATTCCAGAGCCGGTCAGGTAACTCCGGCAGGCCCCCAGGGAAACACCCGGGAGAGACGCCCTTCATGGGCAGCACCCGGGCCTTTCTTCCCCAAGGCCGTGCCCCGCCACAGGCCCCGGCCGCCCCCTGCGAAGGCAGCGACGACCTCCCACCCACCTCTCCGCGCGGCCTCCCTCCTCTCCCGCGGCCTCCTCCGGCCGGCGGGGACAGACGTGTGGCCGCCGCAACGTCCCCCTTA